GTTCATGTATAACTGAAAAATTGTGCTCTACACTGGAATTTGACACCAACATTGTAAAATGTATTATAAATCAATAAAAAATGTTAAAAAAAAAAGTAAGCTATATGTATGCTACCGCAAAGGAAGTTACCTGCAATGCGTTTCTCCTCACACAACGAGTTGAATGTATATTCTGTGCGTTAGACTTTCCACATCAGAAGTTATACTCTTGCAAAGTGCAACCTCAAACTAGGGGAAGAAAAAAAAAAGCTAAGCATTAAAGAACAATAGACAATGTTATGTTTCTTATATTTAGTATTACTGAAATTATCTATTTGGTTTTCCTTTCCTTTTTTCTGCCCTCTTTCATGGACCAGATAGGTAGGGGTGAATAGTTTTTAAAGACGTTTAGATTTATTGGATGATCACTGTGCCAGATACTGAGCTGGGGGGTCTGTAAATATTGTCTATTTTATTTCTTTATTATTTAATGCAGGTGCTGGGGATTGAAGCCAGGACCTCGTGCATGCTAAGCATGCGCTCTACCACTGAGCTCTACCCTCCCCACAATGCTGTCTATTTTAATCCTTATGGCAACTGTGGCTGATGCCGATAGCTGCCTACGTAATATCCATTTTGCCCTTTTTCCTTACACCTCTCACGATGCTTGGGCGAGCAGGCAGCTCCTCTGGCTCCCCCTGGGCAGCGGAGGGGATACTCATAGCATGAAAATAGCCCTGTCCAAAGAATTTTCGTCACAAATCCCTCTTCTTCATGTGGCTCTGGTTATGTTCAGGGTTACGGTGTACTCAGGTAAAAAATATCACCTGTCCAGACTTCTTTGTTTGGGGAAGCCTATGACAGAATCTTGGACAATAAGAAGGAAACAAGGTTGCTGCTTGGGCAGTCCAGGAGGGTTTACAGTACATAGATCTGGGTTTGTAAGAAAAAACTGGACTGTTTGGAACTCCATTTATCCAATTTTTCATGGCCATACATGTGGGCAGACTTACATGTGCAAATTTTGCAAGTGTCTTCAAATCTGGCAATAATTTTTAAATCCAACAATAAACAGGGCAGATCAAACTCTACCCACAGGTGACTTAATATTGGTCAAAACAGTACCTTTGCCCCTCTATTTACAACACAGAGCCAAGACACGAGGCTAAGCATGGTTCATTTTATGATGTGGAATCTTTACAGTAAACAACCTGAGAGCAAGGACATTTTGGAAATAGTGCCTGGGGCTGGTATGCCATTTTAGCCATCCATAAATCTAAACTTTAATTAAGCACAACATGGTTGCTTATTTTTTTCATATCCTTTCCCCAAATTCTAGTTCTTGCTTTCTTTTCTTAGTTCTTACTTTAAATTTTACCATAAACAGATTTTAATCATAATTTAAACATATGAGGGCCTGGTTTCATTTTTTTAAAAAAACTTCATTATTTTGGTTTTTTTTAAAACTTCATTACTTTTTCAAATTGAGATATAATTATATTATATTATTATATTATTACATATTATTATATTATATTATATTTACTTCAGGTGTACCAGGAAAGCTTTTTTTTTAATTGAAGCGTCGTTGGTTTACAATGTTTTCTTAATATCTGGTGTACATCACAGTGATTCAGTTTCATACATATATTCCTTTCAAATTCTTTTTCATTATAGGCTATTACAAGGTATTGAAAATAATTGTACAGTGAGGTCCTACTATATAGCACAGGAAAGCTTTTTAAAGGGAGGCCAACTCAGCTAGCTGGTCTCTGGCTTTTTGCCCTTTGTCCTTCACCATTCTTCCCAGAATACAGATGCGATCATCGGAGATGAAACAACAATCTAAGAGGCATAGAGACAAAAGCCAAGCATGAGTGCACCCAAAACTAGGAGAAGCCTGGGTGCTGTTGGCACTACAGAGATATCGTACTGATCCTGAGCTGCCTTCTCCTGAACTTCTTCATTATGGGAGGACAGTGTACTCCTACTTGGTTGAATCTCTGTGGTTAAGCTTCTATTCTGTGCAGCTAAATACATGGTAACTGATAGAGTTGTATGCTAAAGTTAACCTTTCAAAAATTGGGAAATTTATCATGCACAGAATGATTAATACTCATACGTAGGATTTAGCAATAGAGTAAAAGAAGTTTACCATTGCTTCCTCCTGGACCCTACTCCACTCTCCTCCCCCAGAGGAGAAAACCACCCAGACTTGTCGCAGTATTTTTCCAAGGTTGTTGTTAATCCCTTTTAAAAATTAATCTTTTGTTCTATTTTTTTTTTAAGGAATGAGTTCTCTCCCCCAAAGTCCATAATGACAATACACAAGATTTTTTTTTAAAAGCAAAACTCCACAGGGACAAAGAGATTGGGAAAGAAAACAACAACAAAATTTTAAAAGCAAGAAAGCAGTTGGACAAGTAGTTACTGACCCGGCAGAACGGAATAGGCTGACTCCTAAGTTTTGAAAGGAGGTTAGGGAGACCAAGAAGCAAGCTCATTTCTGCTCTGAAACTCCAGAAAGATTCAGGCTTTGGAGGCAACCCATACCTCTGAAAGTGGGTGTAACTGGGGCTAGAAAACAAGAAGTTTCACTGAAAGTAAGAAGTTTCACTGAAAGTGGGTGTATTAATCAGGATCTAGTCAGGAGACAGATACCACTCCAATTATTTGAACAGAAGGGATTTAATATAAAGAATTATTAACGAGGCATAAAGTTATTAACTAGGTAACTGAAAGGATAAAAAGAGAACTCTAAGGTATCACGGAGGCAGTAACTACAGGAAGCAGCTACCACTCCCAGGGCTGGGGGCAGGGAAAGGAAAAAGGATGGAGTTATTAGAACCTAGAAGTTTGGAGGAGGATCCAACGGGGCTGGAACCCAGACCCCTGAGAAGGGATTGCTGCTCAGCTAGTGCTGGTGTCTCTGCTGTGGGGGTATGATGGGGCTGGTTCTGTGAGTGTTGGAAAAACTGCAGACTGACTCCTGTCACTGCAGGAACTGCTGCTGGAGTGAGGCGTTGCTGGGTGTGGCTTACGGCACTAGGAAGACAACCGGAAGTAGCTTATTCCTTCTTTTCCCAGCCTTCCAGTTTCCCTCTGTTGCCCTCTATGGGAAGAGCCTAACAAGGAACAGCTGGCAAAATCACTGCGGTTTGCAGCATCCCCAACCCAGCATCGCAAAGCCGAATACAGGAAGGCTGGGCTCAGAGCTAGGAGACAATAACATGATAACTGGAAGGGTTGGTATTAGGAGCAAGTTTAAACCCACATCTTCAACCTCAGGAAAGCAACTTCCACTGCAGCTGAATACTGAGGTATATTCTCTGGAGGGGAGAGGGTCTCTGGACTGGGGGACGTTAAGCATTGTTTAGAGTGGGATCCTATATTGAAAATAGGGATTAAGCGAAGACTTAGTGAAGATCAGGACCTCAGCCCTCTTCTCCCAAATGACCTCCACTGAGTGTCAGACATATATTCTCCGGGCAGGAGACTGAAAGTTTCTTCTCTGAAAACCTGACAGCCCAAGACAAAAGACCGAACTATCCTGATATTTAGATTACAGTGAAATCTATAATCAGTAAACTCCACCAAGCTCTCATCTAGCCAGGTTTTTAGATTATAATCTTAAATGTGAGAAGATAGCCTAGGACTACCAGACATCTTAGGAAACTCTCTAAGGTACAAGAGAGAGGCCAAAACATTGAGAAAGAAGAACTTGGAGGAAAGTGAGACTATGCTGAGACATATCGTCTTTGATGTCTAATAATTTCTGAAAATAAGAGAAGATAATGTGACCAAATAAAAAGAAAACATTAAGAGAATAGGAAAGAATCCTTCGAAATTAAAAATAGGATAGCAGAAATGAAAACTCAATAGGAGGATTGGAAGTTAAAGTTGAGGAAATCTCCCAGAATATGGAGCAAAAAGTCATGTGGAAAAAGAGGAGATAAAAGATTTTTAAAAAAATCCTTGGGTCAGGTGAGAAGTCTAACATGTGAAAAACATGAGTTCCAGGGTAAGAATACATGGAAAATGGAAGAGTAGAAATCAAAAAAGAGATAATTCAAGAAAATTTCTCTGAGTTGAAGGATATATTTCCTGGTTGAAAGGGTCCACTGTGTGTGAGTTGAGAAAAAACCCAAAAACTATACCATGGCACATAATCATGAAATTTTAGGATACAGGAGGCAAAGAAAATATTCTATGAGCTGCAGGGGAAAAATTAGTTACACCAGGCAGGTGCCAACCTCAGGAAACTTTGTTAGCAACCTCAACCTACTGCTCAAGTACTCTGGCAATAATTAGATGCAACTATAATAAATAGCTACCATTTGTTAACAATGATAAAGACCAAAGACCTTACAAATGTTATCTCCTTTAATTTTATAACCATCCAACAAATGAGATAATCCTATCCCCATTTTAAAGATGAGTAAATAGGAGCTCTTGGAGGTATGTCACTTGAATAAGTCCCCACAGCTGTTAGGAATTAATAACAGCAATAGCTAACATATATTTAATGCTTTCTATGTGCCAGACTCCATGCTGTAACAGACATTGTTGGTTGCCTAGCAAACAGCTATCCCATCCCTCCCTTACCTGCTAACAGAATCTTCATTTTGTTCAGATAACTCTTTCTCAGGAAAAGGGACATTTATCTCCAGCATGACTGTGCCAGTCAATCAGAGGGATCCTATTTCCCTTTGTCAGTGATCGAATTAAAGGCAGGCTGTGACCCAGTTCTCGCCAAAGATGTGGGAAGGAAAATCAGTGAGGAATTTCTGGGAAAGGTTTTCTCATTTTTAAAAAAGACACAAAAGAAAGAGATGACTCTCTTCTGCTGCTGCATATGGTAGTATCTGGATGCAACACCTGGACCTGTGGCAGCCATTTTATGACCATGAAGGGGAGGAAGCCTAGGAAAGCCTGCAATTTGATGTTGGAAGTACATAAAGCTGGAAAGAACTTAAGCAATCCTGAAACTTCCCTACTTTTCAACTTCTTGTTATGCGAGATAATAAATTTTCCTTATTATTTCAGGAAAAAAATAGATACATAGAATCATGTGTCAGAATGGGTCTGAAATTCTCAGCAGCAACATTTGGAACCTAGAAGACAATGGAGCCTTTAAAATGCCAAGGAAAATGAATTCCAACCTAGAATTCTGTACTTGCAAAGCAATCAATTAATGTGGGGATAAATTAAAGACATTTTCAGACATGCAAAGTCTCAAAAATTTACCTC